CTGTAAGGTTGTCTTCATATATATAAAATTGAATAGGAAATAGCAAAATTGCCATGATTTTCTATACCTTGAAATCTCATTGTCCTCATCTCAATAACAATAATACCACACAATGAAAGTACAACTACTCCTATAAACCAGCTTGACCTCAAACACAAGCAATTTTTAGTCCTACATTCAGSCTATGGTTACTATATACAGGCAATATAAGTATTTCATAGAGTACTTCAAGTATTTCATTTATTATTCACCACTGGAGCTGTCGTTCAAGGATCATAATATGATTTATAGAACAYGCAGAGTCTGGCTCTGATTGCACCAAGGACAGATCCTACAAATAACGTTATAATTCTTTATGGATTTAAAATAAACTCATTTCCAGGTCATCAGGTCATAATGACTGGGCAATAAACCAAACCTATACTGTCATAAAYTAATACCATCCATTAATACCACCTTTGAAATAAATATCATTAATTCATTAAGATGTGTTTTTTTTAATTATTTGTGACCTTTCTGTTCAGACAGACTGGTAATTACAGGAATATTATTACATGGCTCACTGTTKTATTTGGTGATCTATATGCAATCATTATTGCTCTCATTTTATAATCTATTGATAATGATTGTCAAATCTTAAAGAATGATTTCCTTATAAATGACATATAAGATGGTATCAGAATAATAACAATAATAAAAAAAACAAACACAAACCTTTCATATTTCCTTTAACTTAAAAACCTTTCAAGCATTTCATGAGTCATATTCTAATCTGGTACTTAGTTTGTAACTAAAGGTGAAACTTTAAGTCTCACTAAGCTGTTAAAATTCTCGGAAATAAATTTTTAAATTTCAAGTTTTGATGCTAAGGACCAACAAATTTTGACAAACCTAAGATGTTTTTATACTATGAAAACCCCAATATCGATATCTTAATGATATTGGTTTTCTATAGTCATAATTCTAATTTTAACATTTACAAAAGATCACTTGCAAGTTTAATAAGTTTTTGATCAGAAATCTCATATTGATTTTACTGAGAAATTRTAGTTAACCTACTTTGATGTATAGAGGAATGAGGTAAACCATATAGAAATAATAATAACCTAATATTATCTTATCATGCTGAGAAAGTAAATGGTTTATTCAACATAATCAAGTCTGAGTTGAAATATTTCAGTTTTTCCGAAATCAACTTAAAACACAGGTGAGCACTTAAGTGTCAACATAATTTATTACTTTTAAACCACAATATTCTTGAAAAATGATTGTCTAATATTATTCAATCAAGTTATCAATTATTATTGGTCGGCTATTAATCTGGTTTTTGATGACCAATGTTCAAGAGAAACCCCAATGAAATTCTTACAAAAACATTAAGTGAAAAAATCAAAATACTTGCTTCTTATTATGCAGTTGATCCAATTAACRCTATCCAGCTGAAAGTAATAAACTCAWCATTTGMWTGAATGAAACTGTTTTAGAAATTTMAAAAATACAGACGAATAACAAATATAATTTGCATTGTGAGATAATATGTATGTTAATGACTTTGCTATTGTCTTTACAACTAGACAATATTAATGGATTCATTGTATAGAGATCTTTTATTTCCTTGATATTTGTAGAAACCATGCCTAGAGATTGTCCATAGAAGCCAACTGTAGATCATATCTATGATCACATGAAATTTTGTACTACACAACTATTGTAAAGATTGAAAATATAATAGCAAATATTTTAATGAACTGAGCTGTTACAAGACATGTATTATTGTCTTGATAAATAAAAAAGGGAAATTCCTTTTGTCAAACCACTATTCCGCAGAAAGGTGAGCAAAATAATCAACACACATTGTCACTATAACAAACAGCAAAGCTATTATCTTACAGTATAATGACCCCCCTTAGAGTTTCCTTAGAACTGTATTTTGTTAAAGTGAAAGGTAGAAAGAGATGAATATGTTTATTGTATGACACAAACAGCCTACAATAATAGAATTCAACTTTTTGAACAAATACAATGAAGAAGCCTTTCGCTGCAAAAGACAATTACTTATACATCTATAGAATATAACATTGCTACATTGATACTCTTGYGACAAAATCTCATGTCAACAAAATTTTTGTTATCAACCATGTACCATGAATGCTAGTACATCTTGTGCTATTTTTATCAAAATACATCCCAACAATAATAATGAATAAAATGTACCTGTASAGACTAGCAAGCACTGTTTGGTTCCATTTCATTGAATGAAGGGTTTGTTGTATCAGACAATTATTGTCTGCTATTATTGTTAGTCATAACTGCTGCTTAATGTTGGTGAGATTTGGCACCTCAACATTTTATTCACCTACAGTAGACAACTACTTTGCTAGATTAAAAATTTAATTCTCTATTAATCAGAAATAATAAACATTGGGTAAAAGACAGGTTTAACTATTAAGCAAAGGCAACATGACACCATAAATACCACTTTGCATAAATTTGGCGAGCTATTGAAAGTATAACTGTATACCACCCAGTAGTAACCCCACCAAGAGAAGGACTTGTTGTGATTTAGGATTAAACCAGAAAGAAGATAACACCTCAGTTCATTAAATAGTATTGTTTAGTTCAACAGTTCTTCCATGGTAAGGAATTGTGGCTTGTCTTAGCTTATACAGTTTAACCACCATCGTATACATGGTGTTCTATTTAAARTAAGCTTTTCTAGTGACGAGTACTGGTTCAGTTTGGAACTTCCGAGAAATCTAGTATAACAGTAAACCGTTTTACAGTCGAGAACTATATGACAATTAAGGTATATTTCAACATTGAAGCGGTTAGCGGTTAACATAGTCCTATCTAAACAAGAGAAAGAGCTGGTCTATATAAACACACCACGAGCCGTACAGCGCCATAACTAGGTAACCCATCAGAWTCCCTGCTGATATTGTTCATACAAACTACGTAAACATCTCGCATTACAATTTTGGAAGGTGTTGCCTCCAATACATGTGTGTTCAGCTATTATCGTTACGTCTTCGCTTTGCAGGATCTCTTGATGAGGGTAAGCTATCAATAAACCAAATGCAGTTCGAGCACGTTTAGCTGCTTGTATTYGATGGCCACGTTTGGCTGCAGATGACACCAAATCTTGCATGTCAACAATTTATTTACTTTGCAAATTTCACGTGTGGTTCGCTTGAAAATTGAACCTAATTTAGCAATCAATCACATGTGATATGATGACATTTTTTTTTTTGCTTATGATGACCGTAGATTTTACCCATACAAAATGGRAAGTGTTCTTCTGTGCTCGCGAACTACACCGAGTGGAAGGAAACCCTTCTAAGTCAAAGTTTATCACAAGAAAAAATCCATTCCAAAACAATGCAATTGAAACCGAAACACGGCAAAACTGCTGAGATCTTAATGTCGACTGAGAGTTTATTTCACATGCTTAAACGAATTATTGAAGGGATTGCTCTTAGCGACTTGGATCTAAGCCTAAAATCGAAAACGAATTCTGAGTATGAAAAAATAGCCAAAAACCAAACCACGGATAATTAACTCCCCTATAAACTAAAATAAGACAAAATATATGCCAACTGTTAATAAACAGCTAAGTTTGTAGCACTATTTTAGTTCCAGAGTCGATATTAAACACGTCTGAAATTGGAAGCGAGTGTGAATGCGGTATTTTGCACCAAACAAGCTGGCTGCACTGTCTGATAAAAGCGAGAAATCAGGTCCTGYCTTTAAGCTAAATTCGATTCAAATTGACGTAAAAATTATCCAAAAATTGCCTACCGTTATCAAGTGGTCCTTTCGATGGTATAAGAAGTGAATTCTTGAGGATAAATCGAGGGGATGAGTTCAACATTCAACGAAAACTTGAAGTAAACATCCACTGGTCTGCAAGATCCGGCACCTTTGTTACAGACTGGGTACGAAACGGTSTTCTCACGTGACAATTCTAATTTTAGACTCTAGGGTGGGGGGTCATAGAAAAATATTACATAATATAAACAGTTCAAAAAGATTTCTTCTTTTTTACAAACCACMCATTTAATTCACCAGTGTATATCGGATAGAAAATCGCTGATRCTTTATCGCCATTTTGAAACTACATTGAGTAGTTTTSATRCCCATGAAATAAACTTTAGCGTACAACACTTTTTATTGTGCACGTTTTTTTGTCTTTTCGACGGTGTATCGCACATTATTTAACTTTAACTATTGCATTTTGTTTCTTGTCTCAAGGAAAACTACTTTTCAAGAATATGCTGAATCAAAAAGCTTGAGTGTCAGTGGATGGAAATGAAATAAAGGATGATGTCAATTCTGAAAAAAAAAATAGCCTGTGCGCAGCTACTCTGCGAACAGAGGTTCTTTTCGGCGGGTGAGAAAAGAACCTCTGTTCGCAGAGTAGTGCGCAGCAAGAAGGTAATGAAAACATTGACATCTAACTGGCATACCAGCAAAGACAGTTTTTTTTTTCAGCCACCTTCAATGTTATTGTACGTGAGATATGATATAGATTTGTTGAAAACTTCAGAATTTCTGCAAAACGATGAGTATACTTCTTCTAACGCAATGACTTGAGAGCGCGCAAATGACAAACACGCGTCGGTGTAGAGTTATTCCTATTTTTCACAGCAAACTTTTTTTTTTTGGCGATTCACTTCAATGGTTGTCAAGCTGTTAGTTGATGAAGATTCAGAAATTGCCCACACAAATCCATTTGATTTTTAATACAAGACGAGTTTTTAAAAGTGAYGATCATTGTATAATGCATCATGGCATGTGCCAGTTGTACACGTGACAACGAATTGATCGAAAAGCTACTGTGAGGATTAGGAAAAATAGCCATGTTTAAAAATACATACCGGATGTAAAGCTATTTAAAGTGAATCTTTCATTAGATATAAATGAAACAGTATAGGATTGTAATTCTACAAGAGAGAATGTGTCTACCTCCAAGAACTATTGAGAGAAACCCGACAAGATACAATTTATCTCGGGTGCTTAAGCATCTCTACTAATACCCTTTAACATCGGCGTGCAGCCTAGAAGAACGTCGGATTGAGGCTAATGTAGACTGCTGGCCGTTTGCAAAATATCTTGAATGCACTGAGCCCTTGGTACAAAGTTAAAAATAGCTCAGACGGCCATACATCCAAATCAAAAAATGCATTTTTGTCCATGCCAGCCGATTTTGAGTCCGAAAATGTCAGTGTCTAAGATTCTTGAAATGGAATTTTCATCTCATAATCGCAATCTTCCATTTCTAAGATAAGTGAATGTTTTGTGATTAGAACAGAAAAGTTCCGAGAAATTTTGAGACCTTTCGGAAGCCACCTACTTAAGYGAGTGATAGCTTGTCAATTCTGAGAACTCGTCCTTTTTGCTCTCAATCACGCCCAAGTCAAAGAGATTTATTTATAGCCACAATACTCGATTGGAGAAGAATTCCAGTCGAGGCAGGCCTGAGTCGAGGTAAAAAATCTTCAATAAAGTCAATCGGTGAATTATTGTCGTTTCAGAGTGGAATCACGCACATRATTGCATTTTCTGAAGCGGAAAGCAGTTCGCGGATTGGCGCTGGGAGGTGAAAACTCCCATATATCGTAGGGCGGGAATCTCTTGGGGTATTTGAAGGTTTTTGTCCCAGCGACGTCTGAGTTTGTTGTCCTTAAGTGTTCTGTAGTTGCGAGAATAACTACAACTCTTGTGCAATTCTCATCTCTTTGTAAGGGAAATAATCGTATCGTTTGCCACGCCCACCTTCGTAAGGCTGACCCTGGTTCTGTTAGGGGTATTTTTTTACAATTTCCTATCATCCCCGCCCTAAGATATAAGGTTCAATATCAAGGTGTCCTTTTTAATTCATCAAACAATTATATACTATTTGCACTTTAATTAACTCCCTTCAAATTGTGACAATATTACATAAATAATATTTATAACTCTACTGAAATATTGTACCATACCATCATAAAAATACCATACTTTATCATTCAATTTTATTTTTATTAAAATATCATTTTCCCAGTCGAACGTTTCAATACCTTGGCTGATAGTAGCTGTTACCCAAAGTACCCATGTACCCTCCCCACCCTTGCTGATTCATTGGTAAAACCTTACTACAAGTTTTTCCGTGWGCGAGGTTTTTACAGCTGCAGGTTAATCGGAATCTATATACAGTAAGACTACCAAAATGCACTTTGTACCAGTCAAAGTCTGATTGACTGACGTAAATCTTGTTTTTGTCATTTTTCYGGTGGTGTTTTTTAAGGCAGATGTTCACTGCTGCGTCGCCATTGTCGTACATACCATGTTTTTCATTCTCTTCTACACTCACTTTGTTGTCAAATTTCCCTGAAAAATTAAAAGACATTTGTCAAAACACATACGCACATATAGCCGCCCACGTTTGAAATACAAAGCTGGCGCTGTTGGAGTAATCGTAACTTTCGCCCCCGTCATGTTGACACTCATTCACCTCTCTCACTGTGACAGCCCATGCAATACCTACTTACAACTACTAAAAGTATCGACGTAAATCGAATAAATTGAACGTTATTTCCTGATACCTTGAACAAAAGGTAAGACTTGTTTATTTAAAGAAGAAAAATACTTCCTGATCTTACGGTAAGATTACAACTTTGGAAAATTGCTTCACGTGAAGTGCACGTTTTTAGTAGATATGCGACTTCATATGAGGATAAGAAGAACTAAGAATGCACGATATTTAACCTCCACCAAACCGCTTCCGTCCCCGACAAGCCTTGATTTCTATTTAATCTAATTTATGAAGAAACACTGTGATTAAAGTTTAGCAAGTTGAGACATGTAATAAAGAATTCTACAAACGTAAATAACTGAAAGCATTGTGCACTCTTWATGTCAACGTGATTAATAGTCGATGGTTTGCGTGATTGATGTTTTACCTCCTACCTTAAATGCATGTGAATTATTTTCTCGTATGGTCTACAATCACAGCGTTGGGCAGGAGACATGATGTCGGGGTACAAGTAAAACTTTAAACTTCTCAACTAATCCTACAAGGTTATTTTAACAGGTCTTTTTGGAAAGTGGGACAGCACTGACTAATTCAGTTAATCTATGTTAATCTATGTTAATTTCTGAAATGCTTGGATAAAATCCGCTATTTTTTTCTTCATTTCCTAAAAACCAAAGGCACAGGTAGACCAATCAATGTCAAATATACATTCTTTTTCAAAGTACAGTCGTAGTTTGGASTTAATTGTCGGATAAGATTGCGATTAATCGGTGGCCACAAATTGCATCCCCACGAGCTTCAGTTTGCATGTAAACCTTGTAGGGATGCAAAAATATCCCACACGCGATGAACAAACGTTCTCACGAGAGAAATGATCAAAACAAGAAAAAAAATATGGGATGTTCTGGTGTAATGAACGGGAATAAATGAACWCAGAGAAAAATTCTTGTAAGAAATTTTAAAAACTTTAAGCTGATGTAGCATTACTGAGATACATTATTTCAACTAATCATTACTAAAATAAGAAATTCTGTCACTATTAAGTACTATTTAATTCTTTTAAAAGTTGTTTTCATGTGTTGTAACGGCAAAGGCCAGTATAATTTTTCTATACGATATTGTTATGGCGAGGCATGAACAAAGGGGAGGGAAAGTACCCCAATACAGTACGGCGATTTTCTCACACAACAAAAACTCAAAAACATAAGATAACGTGACTAAATGCAACTCAAACTTTAATTAACGATGAAATATCAAGAGATTGTTTGTTGGCAATGAATGAGGACCAATGAGTTTGTAAAAATATCACAGACGCGCGGGAAAAATAGTCACGTTACCATCCAGCGTATGATCACGTGAGCTTCTCAGGGTTCGTGCAACATTTTCACTACAAAATTCCAGGACTTTTCAAGTACTTTTTAAGCATAAAAATGCGATTTTCAAGGAGTATTTTTGAAGATATTTTTAGATGTTTGMGRACGTTTCAAGTGGCGATTTTTTAAAATAGCCACATTTCAATCCAAAAGCTAACAATCAACATGTCAATTTTATCAGATTCAAGGAGTTTTCCMGGAGTTTCAGMGRTTTTCCCAATTTTCAAGRGCTTTCAAGCGCCCTTGAAAATGAATTTTCAATTCCAGGACTTTTCAAGGAGTTTAAGGAGTAGCACGAACCCTACCTTCTAGCGTATGATCTYACCTTGCATACTTAGATTTCTATAATGTTCAATGCAAGCTTTGTCCTCTGGTAAAATCACTCTCACTTTGGCAGGAAACTGCCAATAGGTAGTGAAAACAACATCGATTGAGTTGTCAGTAGTGCCATTAAGAGAAGGGGCTAAACCACCGGTGGCAATAATGCGCTGGAACCCTCCATGGTCAGGTGCRCCTATGTGCCTTTTAGTTCTATGTTTGTGAGGTTTGACGTCCACACTATGTTCTATTGCCTTGTACTTTTCTGTGTTGTAAAAAGAATGATAGAAAAAACGTGTACATGATTTTGGATAACGAAATTATTAGAATGTAAGAGGTATATACTGGCCACTGATGTTCTTTACCTGAATAATAAATAGTTTTTCCAGGAAAGCCAGTCTTGTGGTTCATCACATTTAGCTTACTGAATGATTTGGTATTGTAGCGTAGCTGGCATGTATCAGCTCGACTTTGCTCATGAACATTTGTTCCTTCAACAAAGGAAAATTCTGATCCTTCCCCTTCATGGCCTTTGCAGTCAGCCATCCAATAGATGAAGAGATCATTACTAAGACCTTCCATACTAACTGATAGCGGTGAACTGTTAACAGCTACTGACGTCTTTTTAAATGGTATAATGAATGGTTTACCAGTTTTGCCATCAAGTATTGTCACCTATGAAACAGATTAAGTGAATTCCCTATTCATTCATTTTYATATACATTTAGGATTTAATATTTCATTTTGTTAATCATTCCATTCTAATGACCTGAGAGTAATAATACACAGGAAATCCAGGACCATAGTTAAAGCGCACCATCACATCAGGGACATCGTCATCATTGTAATAACCTACAGCAGGGGTTCTAGGATCCAATGAGAACTGGAATTAATTAAAAATTACATATGAAATTAGCAAAGCTAAAATAGATCAAAGATATCAATAAGGCTAGGGTAAGACAAAGGAATGATTTTACAATAGTTAAACATTAATGAAATGTGACAAACATTTTCGCAAAGACAAGCCGGTTGTCACAGACTCTTCAAAGCTTTGTTAGTATAGAGCCTTCTTTGTTAGGTTGGAAAACCATCTAGTGTTTTTCCATTATTTTCTAAACGAATCACAAGATTCACTTTGAACAGTCCATGATGACCGAGACTGAAACAAAGAATTTAAGTACATACGAATATGATTCACTGTAAGGGAAGTCATAATGCCATATCTGCTTGTATGTTTCACCATTGAAAGCTGCAACCGTGATATTAAACATTGCCATGACGATGTCAACAGTCCCATCTTTATTCAAATCAACAAGCACGGGAGGTGACATCACTCCTTAAACAAACAAACAAATCATTT